TGTGCTGCATTTAAATTTTCTAACCTATAGATCTTTTTACCTTTAGGATATCTTTTAGGATAGTAAACAGCTGAGCATATGAGCTCCTGAATAGTTTCTCAAAGAAGGGAACTTCAATGAAGCTCAACACTGTTACAGTTTTCTAAGTAAGCCTGTATACCCCTTTCAGCTTGGTCCAGCTAGTTGTCATGTTTTATTGAGAGTTACGATTACACAAGAAGTTTAGTCCCAAAGACACATATTGTTAGATGCTATGGATTAAAAAGAAACCCAAAAAACACCTCCACAAACCAAGCCAAAAGCAGTTTTCCACAGGGAAGCGGATGAGAAACTGAGTATCTGAGACAAGTACTGAGTTACACCCTGAAGTGATGCTTTTCCGTTTGTCGTTTTTCCTTCTCACGACGTTGCATCTTACTGTTTCTGTGCTTTATACGGATGGCGTTACTAGGATTTTAAGTTGAGAGAACAAGGTGTATGTGATGTACCAGTGCTGTGAATCAGCAGAGGGCACTACGTGCCTATAAACCCGTATAACTGAATTAACATGCAGAGTGACATCTTGGTGAAGTTAGCATCAGTTACTCCAAGGCTTAGACGATGTAGCTGAGGGAGTATCTGTGCTCATTCAGCGATGCACAGAATGCACCGCACCATCTCGTTTCTTCCAGTGAAAGCTGACTGTATTTATAAGATGTTTATACTGTTCTATAAAAAAATGCATGGATCGTTGGCACCAGGGGCTTCAGTTCACAACATTGCATCCCACTTTGGCGCTACCTGGGTACGTAATGCTTAGGGAGTATGAAGGTGTCTTATGCCTGCAAAAGCAGACCTTCTCCTGACATCTCACTCTGCCTTGAGATACTGATGATATGTCCTGGCAGAGCGTCTCCTTTCTCAGCCAACCGTTCGCTCACTCTCACCCTCCCAGGAGAAAGTGTGTGGGATCCGGTCCCTGTGCCCTCCCAGCTGCTGGGGCTGATATTCAAGGGGCTGCTGATAGTTGCCATGCTGTGGTTTTTTTCCCCCAGTAATAACCCACTTCTTTATGTCAACTATTGGACCTGAAACAGAGCTGATATATGCAGAAAGTTTATTTCTCTACTACTTATATTACACAGGTCCAGTGTAACTAAGCCAAATGTTGGTTGATGTGAGACAGATGGATGAGAAAATCTATTGGCAAATGTAATATTTGTGACAAACACTGGATTTCTCATTTCCCTGTTTGTTTATTCCTGAGACAGCTGGGTTACTTGAATTTCCTGCCTATAGTTTCAGCTGTTTCAGTATGCTTTAGCCCATACTGCAGCAACAACCTTTCTAAGCAGCAAGGGACTCACACAATAGCAGGTAGACCTCCAGTTGCTGATGCTGATGTTCTGCTTTTGGAAGCATTGCAAGTGGCATCATGAAACAGTTCATAAAAATATATGTATGTCTGTATTAAATACCACTAAGCCCTTAAAAAAAGTAGGAAATACTTCTGAGCATTATAGTATTGGCATTGAAATATGTCAAATGATCAGAATGAGTGGTTATTATTGCTGGTTTTATACTGCTTTGATTTAGATATAAAAATATTTGAAAAGGAAATGTTTTGTGCATATTTGGCTCATGCTTTTCATCTACGTCGTGTTTTTCTTTAGAGATTATACAGCTCCAGGAGGTATGGAGAATGCTATTCCCATTAATACGATAGAAATAGGCAAATTTTGCCTAAATATCAATAAGGTGGTTGTTTTTGCAAAAGTGCAAGTTCATCAGAAGTAGAACTGGAATGTTTCAGTTTGTTGGAAACTACTCAAGAGCTCTGCACATTTCTTCTTTGGTGTTTCTATTTTTGTTTCTGTGTAGAGCTCAGCCTTGCAGTTTTTTCTCAAACAAAATTCTGGTTGACAGCTTCTGGAGTTTTGTCTGTGTAGGAAATAAGGATCAGGCCTTAGGTAATGTCTTAGGAGCTCTTGAAATAACTTTCACAGGAAACTCCCTCACTTTTATGATTGTTTTTTTTTTTTTCCAGGTTGAAGTTTGTTCTTGTGCTTTATGAAACTTGTCACCCCAGATTTCTGCACAAGAGTCGTACCCAAGTATTCCCTTTCAGCAGTTCAAATGCAGTGAAATAGAAGAATACTAAAACAAAGATATGTTTTGTGTGTCTCAGCTGTGCACTCATGAGGAAGCACCACAGGGAATTCATAAGACTCGAGTTAACTCAGAGGGGATAACTCAGTTAGGATTGCCTCTGGCAGAGCAGGAAGCTCTGAACAAAATCAATAATTAGAATAACCGATTCTGATGCTGTCCTGGTTTTCTTGAGCACAGCAGCATACGTGTTTCATAAATCTAAATCTGGGAAATGCTAGGGACTTAAAACCAAACCGATGGACTCCGTCTCTGGAATACCTACACGGTGTTTGCACTAGTGAAGGGTGACTCCAGTGTTCAGAAGAAGGCACAGTAAAACTGACTTCTTGCTGCCACAGGAGTTAGTTATGGGATTTTAATGTGCCCAAAAAGGCACATTACCAACAAGGTTCAGATGTTACCAGCTGGGACAGGAAGGTACTCAGTCTGAGAGCTTTTGCTGCTCTTTCACAGCCCTTTGGCAGTGGAGTACAAAAGTGTGCCCCAGTTTGAATTAATTTCATGTTAAGAGGTTCCCTAGTAGTACCTAAATGTCCATGTTGGGACCAAATGCTTCTGATGAACCAAACTTGCTGAGTTCATCTGCATCTACAGGGATATGTTTTCCTGATTCCAGTTTAACATATTTTCATATGGTTGAGTACAAGAGCTGTAGAAATGCGCTTTTGTTCCATGCTGGATGAAAAAACCCTACCCCCTCCATTTTCTGGAGTATTTGTGAACATGTGATGTAATGTTCATTCTTAAATTGGAAATGCTAAGTTTTCAACCTTGGTACCTCTGGCTCATGAAGTGACTCAGGATCTAGTCTGGCTGTGACTGAAAATCTTTTTTATGTTCTGGCATTTTACAATGCATAATTTCTCCTCAAAAGCACTGCAAAACGAAATTGTTGTTTTGTAGCTACTTCTTCATATGTCCATGTACCAAAGAATCGATTTCTTTCCTCCCACACTTCGCTTTCTTCCTGACTTTCATTACCTTGGTGTTTCTGACAAGGATTCTGTGAGAGTCCTGTGTCTGTACACAGACTAGGTGAAAAAAACAGTTGTTTCTTCACTTTCTCTAACCTCTTGGGGTTTTTTTTGTAAACTAATTTTCTCTTATTCTTGTCCTTTGGTTTGATTCTTGGCCTGACTGCTTTCTAACTATCTCTCACTTTGAATCAAAAATCCTCAAAGTTACTAGCCAGCCTTTTTCAAGTTTATATCTCATTTTTTTATTTCTGGACCAAGTTTTGAGTCTTTCAGGATCCCTTCGTCCCCTTTTGCTGTCTCTTCTGGTGCTTGCAAACACCTGCAGGTTTGGATAATGTGTTCTCTGGCCCTTCTTTCACATCATTAATAAAGAGGCTAAATCAAATCGAGCCTGACACTTCTTTGAGTAAGTGGTCTTTGGATACTTCTCGTCAACAAGACCCAGTGTTGTTGTTGTTACCTGGTTCTAAATATGAAATCTTGATGCAATATATCTTTTGGAGCCAGTGTAAATATATATTTTTAATGATGGATTGATGTGTCACTGCATCAAATACCTATTAAAAGTTAGTACTTCTACCAATTGACATTCATTCTGATGCAGTGCCCACTTAAATACATAATTTAATATAAGCTTTGAAGAATCAGCTGTGACACACAAGATGGCCTTTATTGTTTATCTATTTTATGGAGTCCAGACTGCATTGTGAAAAAATGAGTAACCACATAATGCTAATGAGCATTTCTTTATGGATTTTTAAAGCTGTTAAACTGCCATCCATATTGTCAGCCAGGGAAATCCCATGTAAATAAAAAAGCTCTACAAATTACCTGTCTTCCACTCTTAATTCAGCTAGACTTTCTGAATATCTAGTAGTGGAGATAGAGATATAGAAAATCTAACTATTAAATATATAATGATGTAATTAGAACATTTGTATTGGCCATACTATCACTCTCTGGAATTTATGGCCAGAGGTGTTGGATTGGAAGAATAAGTCGTTATTAGGAAATGCTACATTTTCTGCAGGGCTGGGGATTTTTAGGTTAGCTGGAACCACTTTTTTCCAGGAAGGTCTCCTGAGCTATGATTATAGTATATAATAAAGCTCATCACAGCTGCTTTTGTCTGATTTTTGAAAGACACCTCCCCTCCCAACTAAATGTAACTAACAGTTCAGTCTTTTCATGAACATTTAGGAGAAAAAAAGGTAACATGTTTCTCTTTCTATAACAAATAGCCAGTTTTTCATCTCAGTTGAGCCAGTGCTGTTCTATCTCATTTTTTTGGTCCAGCCTTAGTGACTCTACTGCAGGGTATTAGTGTTGGCTGGGAGTGCCCAGTATATCTTCAGCTTTGAAGATACAGGGCAGTATCCGTTCTGCACACAACTGACAGAATTTAACTGTGTATCACACTTAAGTTGCACATGTAGAATAATAGGAACACAGAATGGTCAAGGTTGGAAGGGACCTCTGGAGGTCATCTCGTTCAACCCTCCTGCTCAAGCAGGGCCACCTAGAGCCAGTTGCCCAGGACTGTGTCCAGGTGGCTTTTGAATATCTCCAAGGATGGAGACTGCACTATCTCTCAGGGCTACCTGTGCCAGTGCTTGGTCACCCTCACAATGAAAGTGTTTCCTGGTGTTCATATGGAAGCTCCTGTGTTTCATTTTGTACCCGTGGGTTCTTGTTCTATGTGTGCACACAGACATGATCTGTCAGAAGCTGTCACATGTATTTGTTAAATTTGTGCTTTCTTCCAGTGAACACTTAACCATTTGATGCAGCTTCCCCCCCCATGCACATAGAAGCCATGATTATGGTTGTATTTAGTTTTTATGATGTTTTTGTTTGTTTTTCATCTTGTAGGGTAAGTCTTACCCCTTCAAAGGTCCATTCCCTCCTATGTGGAATCCGCTGGTCTACCTGGACTACAACAACCTGTGGAGGACCATGGATGAAATGGGAAAGGAGGTATGGTATGAAGAATTGCAGCTGACCAGCTCAGCTTTGTCTCTATAAGGGGCAGAGTGAAGATGGGTCTAGGATGTAGATAGGCCAAGCTGCTTTAGCTTGAACAAACCTGGTGCTGCCAAGAGCAGCATCGTGCCATGCATTTTGGTAGGCACGATGGTTAGAGCACATGTTATATGGGGCATCTTGGCAAACTTTTCTTAAGGCCGTGCTGCCAGGCTGTCTGCATTCATACCTTCATTTTTCTGGATATATGAACATTAGGATTTATGCATGTAATTTTTAGCACTTCACCTGACGATTGGGTAAGCGATATTTTAAGTGGCTTGTAGACCTCAAACGTACACCCTTCTCCACCCTCAAATTCCGCTCAACCATTTTAGTTTGTTACCAGTAGTGTGTGTTTTCCACTGACTGAGCTACAAGACTTTGAGAAGAGGTTGCAGTTACTTGCATAGATGAATGGGCGAGATACGGAATAACTCAGAGACATTCTGCAGCACTTTTTTGCCTTTCTAGGCAAAGTTCTTAACTCTAAAATTATTCTCTATTCTTAAATCTAAAAGAAAAAATCTTAAACAACAAAAAACTAAAAGCATTCTCTGTTAAGTTCACTGTACTACCTGCCAGGAATTTGTAGGCTGAATTACCGTGTAGAGTTGAGATTGTGATTGTTTGTGTGTGTTGTCTCTTTCTAATGCCACTCATTCATTTGCTGATGAATGCTCTTTTATGTCTCCTTAGATTCCCAGTGAAGCCCCATGGAAGGCTCCACATGCGGAAGAATGGGACAAAATGACTATGCAAGATTTCATAGATAAAATTTGCTGGACAAAGTAAGAAACTCTTTAATATGAAATATAATAGCTTATACTTGTATACCTTGGAGCTCCAAACAGGTGTTACTGCTTTGCAAACAGATATAACTATCTCTAGACTATAGCCTTTTTAAAGAAACAGAGTGAGAAAATCTTGTAATAATGGGCCACAACACCTGTCAGCACACGCAGTACATTCTGTTATATTTCCATAACTTTTTAGCCTAAAATAAAGATAAAAGGAAAATGTATTTGGGGTGGGTTACTTCTGAAGACATAGGTAGTATCTTTATTTGTTATATGCGTTTTCCCTCTCTTTACTGTGTCTTTAACTTTTAAGAGAAAAATGCTCTGGCTATAGCAGGTGTTTGAATCAAACTTTTAATGGAACAACACACATTTATTCTGTGCTGGACCAGCTGATTTTACCAAAGTGCTATAAAAATAACATTTGTCTTGAAATAACACTAAATCACTTTAACACCCACCATGCTGTTGTTTAACTGCTGCACTGTATACCACCCAGGGAAACTGAAAATGCTTCCTGTTTTTATGTATACATCAAAGCAATTTTTCTTTACTTGCCGTTCAACAATAGTTTGATTGGTTTTCTTCACACTGAAGCAAAAAAAACCCCAACATTAATCCTGCCTTGCTGTAAAGCAGATTGATTTCTACAGCAGCCTCTTCAGAACCGCTAAAGCACCCGACACGCGGCTGCAGCGAGCCTGCACGAGCTTGGTGCAGAAGCCTGTTAGCACCCACTGAAGCTGGGACTGTCGTGGACAGGGGCATTTTTCCAGCTTCAGCCAGCCTCTAGAGAGCAACATGGTCATTGTTAATGGACAGGAGGTTCTTGTACAAAAGATTCTAGTCTTCTGGCTGTTTTGCTTCAACAAGAGTGACAGTTATACAAAAGCATATAGAAAGCCTTTCTCATTTGTATTGCTGTCCCCGTTCAGTAAAACCAAATAGAAATGTATGCTGGTGGTTCTGCTGGCCATCTGAACCACTGTGTTGGTAAGGGACTATACAAGTTAGGAAAACGCCATGCAGTAGTAGTCATTCAATATCCAATAGCTCATGTAACTACAGTCACGTTTTTTCAAATTCTGATGGAATAAGACTTGACATTTTACCTGAATGTTGGCATAACTGTCAGCCTCCCTTAATTCCAAGATGCTTTTCGGATTTTATGTGTGCATCTGGGCTTGACTTGCCCAGTTGTTCAAGGTTTGGGTAACCTGCCATAGAAACTTCCAACCCTGGAAGGTATCGATCCAGAAGGGTAATCTTCTGCTATTCCCTCTCACCTAACAGACTGTACAGATTTGCTTTTAGCTAGAGTTGCATGCTGGAAATACCCCGAGTGCTCTTGGTTGAAATCATACTGCCATTTTTAGGTAAAACACCAGGAGAAACTGGGGAACTGAAATGCTGGAAAGCAATGGGAGAAGGCAGCAGAAACTAGGAGAGTTTAACCACCATCTAATAGCTTCTGCTTATGAAATATTAACAAATATATATACTAATTCTCTCATTAGACAAATTATCTCTCAGTTGATCATATTTTACAGTATGTAAATTTTACAGACAAAAATTGATAAATATTTTCTGTATTATTTTTGACTGTCAAGAATGGAGCCAGAATGCACCCATATTTCAGAAAACGGATCAGCTTTTTACTTCAGTGAGACTTTGCATTTTTAGAAAGGACAGAAGATGCCTTTTTTCTATATAGATCTACAGCTGTTTGAAACAGTAACTGTTTGAGTTACGCTTTTCACTGTTTGGGTTTTTTTGGTGTTTTTTTTTTTTTTAAAGTTCGAAGACTGAAACAGGAAAGAGGCAACTAGAAGCGGATTTTGTACTGGCTCTGAAGTTATCGATTACCTGATGCCTGGTGTATGAAATACCTATAGAATCTCAGTCCCTGTCAGTCACAATTCAGTTAAGCTGAGCATCTCCTGGTCCTGTCCATGTCCCTTTGAAGTCCTCCTCACAGTGAGGGCAGAGGAAGCATTTACTTCTAGCAGGAGGAATGTTTCCCTGAGCCTTAATTAACTCTGTCTGAGTGTACCCGAAAATCTTGTACAGGTTTATACAGTAATTTTCAGTAGAGCTGTTATGAAAGCACCAACTGAAGGACATAAAGCAGTGACCCTTTTTCAGACACAGGCCACTTTTCCACTTCTGTGTTCATCACCACTGGCTATGAGACCACTGTTTAAAATACTGAGTTGAGCAACCAAAAGTATCCTTTCCCTTTTCTTGCCAGACTTTTGCATGAATGTGTATATGCTGTCCCTTCACTTAAGGGTTCCTACTTACGTTTCTTTCCTTGCTGTGTTCCAGCTGCAGCAGCCTCCCTGAGCGCAGTGAGGGGACACTGACTAATCCAGAGAGTTTAGATAATTAGCTTAGACAAGATCCCTAACTTTTTTATGGCAAGTGTTGAATAATCTCAATGCTGGGTGCTTGAGGAACAGGCATTCATCAGGTGCGGAGCTGCAGATCTTGTATGTAACCCAGGAACCATGGGAGGATATGGTGGTTCTGGAGTCCAGTGAAGACAGGAGAGCTTGCTTCCCTTAATCCCGAGTCTATGATGACAAGATAACTTTGCATTAGTAGCATAAATTGACATAAGCTTTCATGGGCTCTTGTGTCTCCTGTAGCCCTAATTTGGCTGCAACACAGCAGTGCTTGATTAACTTCTTTTTTTTTATGCAGGGTTACTTGAAAACTGTTGCATAAAAGGAATTGATAGTTTCCTACTTCACCTGAAATTAAGCAGTCCTTTGCCCTCAGTGAAAGAAAAGGTTGCCAAAGACAGTCTCTCCACTACTAAAGAACAATCTTGTCACCCTTCTTCAGTTTTTAAATTAACTCATTTTCTTGTCTTTGTTGCAGTGCTGCCAAGAGTTTTGCAACTCTGTTTGTGAATGTGGATGTCACTTCTGAACCCCACGAGGTTTCTGCCCTTTGGTTTTTGTGGTACGTGAAGCAGTGTGGAGGGACAGCAAGAATATTCTCAACGACCAACGGAGGACAGGTACTGTCAGCCATCACCTTCTGCAGCTTGTGGCAGGCCCTGTTTTAACTTGGTTCTTTTGCTTGTTTATTTTAGTTCAGAGGGCCAACTGAGACATCCGTGATTTTGAGCCAGTAGCATATTGATAACTAGTTCTATTCTTTTATATGTTTATTTGGATCTTGCAAAAGTAGTGTTGAAGGCTGTTCCTGTGCTGAAGGCATTGGCCCAGGTATCAGTAGATTTGTATCTGTTCCTGACTCTGGCTTCTTTTTGGGCTCTGGTTAGAACACGTACTTTGCTTATCCATTTTGAAAAAAGAAAGTTTTACATACACTTATTTCTGTCATGAGGCTGAAGCAAGCCTTACCACTTCAGAAGCACTTAATGGAGATGACAGTGCTAGCTGCACGAGTGTGTAGAGCGCCCCAAATTAATGCTGAAATTGTAGGCCAGAGCTGGATTCCTAAAAACACAAGTTTCCAAGGATTAAAACCGTGAAGGATTTAGAATCGGTCTGAAGACTCCAGCTGGCGGCCGGTCACAAGCAGTGTTCCCCATGGCTCAGTCTGGGGCCAGCCTTGTTCAATATTTTTATTGATGACCTGGAT